ATTTTATTTGTTAGGTCAAAAAGCTTGAACATTTAATAGAAGGCTCCTAATATATTGTTACAAAACTAGTTAAAATTTTTAAAATTCATAGTCACAATGTGTAGTGACAAAATACGTAAAAACCACGCAAACTATTTTGAGTTAGAAATTCATAAACATATTTCTTTTTAAGTCTAATGTTTGAAAATGTAATATTAAATTTCTCATGTTTGTCGACCTTTATAAAAAAAAAAAAAAACGTGCATCAGAAACTAAAATTAAATTTTTATGACTGTTTGAAGTTCAAATTTTTACAATATTTGATATCAATCGATTTCTCGTATAGCGATTTTCTTATTTTGTTGTAATTCAAAAACGAACAACTGTGGATACATGAAAATTTTACTGAGTGTTTATATTTCCATTTTCTATACTCCATATATTCATTATATCAATTCCTAAACTTGATAAAATGTTCAAAATATTTTGACCCGTTTTGAGCTGTTTACGGACATTTTCAATTTTTTAGTATTTTTTTCTATAAATATCAATAAAATTTTATTTATTGTGTAAAAAAGTTTAATACATGGCTTCTGATATATTGTTACAATGGTAGTTGAAAAATATTAAAAACATTTTTTTTATAAGCATTTAAAGTTAAAATTTTCACTAAATTTATCAAAATCTTGGAAATTATCAATTATTGTAATTAAAAGATGGTAAATTTTTATAACTAGGGAAACAAAGATTCTCATAAATAGCTCATACAGTAACCAAAAAATCTAAAAAAATATATTAACACAATTATTTTTTACAGATAATTTAAATTCAAATTTGGACGAAATTACATATTAAAACGAATAATGATTTTAGTTATTTTTTTGTAATATTATTGTAATAATATAATTATAATAAATAATAATATATGTTGTATTCTTATTCGTGGATATATGAAACTTTCAGAGTAGGTTTATATTATATTTTATACATACGAAATTTTCAAATGTAATTTTTTTGTAAAAAATGAATGTAACATACTGTAGTAAAATATACTACTAATACTAAAATTAATTACTTTAATCACAATTATATCATAAAATATATCTAATTAATAATATTTTAGCTGACAGACTGTCTTCGCTCAGAATCGATTTTCGTATATACAATGATGGTGTAGGTAAATAGCTAAAAATGAATATTTAAAAATAAATATTATTAAAAATAAATATTTTGAAATATACGATTGTGTATAGTAATTAGTAGGTACCTACTCATACACAATACATGGTTTCAAAAAATTCAAATTTCTACGTAAAATATTTTTTAAATTACAACAAAATATCTAAAAATTTTTTTTTTATTTAAAATTCCAATTTTGTGAAAATCTCAGCTTGAAATGTCAATCTAATAAATTTGTGAATTTTTTTAGATTTTTAATGTTTCTGTAAAAACAAGTTATGTGGTATCTTGTATTAAATTGTTAAGCCTTGTTATTAAAAATAATTTTTAGGGATGTCTGAAGTTAGAATTCTGACAAAGTTCGTCAAAATCTCGAACATTTGCAAATTATTTTGAGCTATGAATTCATAAAAATTTTCCTTTTTGTCTCTTAAGTTTGAAAATTTAATACAAGATTCCTCATAGCTTGTCAACTTTTATAAAAAAAAAAAATTTCCGCCGGAAAGTAAAATTTAATTTTGATAGCGTTTAAAGTTTATATTTATACAACGTTCACCGATTACTATCATAGAACGAGTTTATTATTTTGTTATAATTCAAAAACAAATAACTATAGATACTTAAAATGTACACCAAATGTTGATTCATTTTAAACTGTTTACAGACATTTTCAATTTTTTTAGGTTTTTTTTTTTATAAATGTCAATAAAATCTTATTCGTTGGATCAAAAAGCATAAAACTGTATTTCAAATGTTGAAGTAATAGATAAACATTAGTTGTTTTGTGGAAATTCATAAATATTGTTAGTGAGTACTAAAACATTTAATATGTATATTATTACTTTTTATACACACAATGATATGTTTAAATGCAATGTTTTCAGCAAAAATTAATTCAACTTTCAACCTAAGACCTCCTTGCTCAAATACAATCATTTTATATCATTGAATTCAAATTTAACACATCCATTACAGTGGCTCCACTAGACACCTACTGTACTGCAGAGCAGTACCCACTTTTTTAAATTTAAAATCGACCACTAAGAGGGTGAAATTAAATAACCACGCAAATGTGATTAGTTAAAACAAAAGTTAGGTTCGTAGATAGAAATTTGTAATTTATATAGGATGTTTATTTTATATGTAGGACTGTAGGAGTTTCAAGAAGAGTTTTATAGAAATTCAGTTGTAGGCATTGATAGCATAGTTTGTATCGGATATAGGTAATATTTGTATGGTTACATTTACTTGAAACTTGGTATTAACGCTCTTAGACATAATTGATGAAACATTCTTAGCTTAAACTAGCTTCCTTACTTATCATTAATCATGAGTCATGATGAGTTGTAATGACTAATGAGTCATAACAAAACTACTAATACGCGAGTGAATCCATGAGAAATAGCTAGTATTGATATCATTACATACAAATAGGTAACGATTCTCTTGGGAGACGATCGATCGATCAGCCTATATTACGTACTATAAAAGTATATATTCTATTTATATTGCTATTTGTAATTAATTTTACTATTAGTAATATACGGTAGGTTGAATTATTGTTTGCCAATAAGTACATCGCATTTATTATATTATACATAATATCGACTTAGAACGGTGTATTTAATTCATGGTAGAAATATGTAACAGTTTAAAATTAATATAAATATTTTAAAAATATCATTGTATAGGTATATAGGTATAATACAATATAATAATATATGACATAAGTCCTACAAATATTTTTGAATTACAGAAAAATAACTAAAATCTTTATTTTATGTTAAATATCCAATTACGTGAACATTTTAGTTTCAAATATCTATAAAAACAATTAGAGCCAATTTCCGCCTATGATACACAAGACACCTAATTGTGTGTGGTACCCACTTACCTACCTTTAAGATTCTGAGTAGAGAGATGAATGTATTGATTTTACAATGATTTTATTTTTGTCTGTCATCGTCTTTTTTTGTTTTTTTTTTCGCTGATTATTTTGAAAAGTAGGTTGTAAGTATGTACTGGAAATTTTTGTTTTGACCTACCATGGTACCAACTAGATATGACTTGCTACCCTAAACTACCCTCAAAGTGGTCCATAATACTGCTTCAAATGGCATTGATAGGTACACGACAGTAATAAAAACAAATTTCAAACAAGAAAGAATCTTTGAAATGCACAACTATAGTATCAAAAGGGCCGCTTAATCAGCCATAAATCATAACACGAATACCCTGCACCTTTTATCCAACACTGGTAAAATAATATTTGTAATGCAATGTCAATAATATATAAATAAAAAATACACACCATAAATGTGGAATAGGTACAATACAATTTGTCAATTTCAGTTTCAATAATATAATAATTTGGTAATAAAGTATTTAAGTATAAAATATTTGTAATATAATGTCAATAATATATAAATAAAAAATACACACCATAAATGTGGAATAGGTACAATACAATTTGTCAATTTCAGTTTCAATAATATAATAATTTGGTAATAAAGTATAAAATATTTGTAGTACAATGTCAATGATATATAAATAAAAAATACACACCATAAATGTGGAATAGGTACAATACAATTTGTCAATTTCAGTTTCAATAATATAATAATTTGTTAATAAAGTATAAAATATTTGTAATACAATGTCAATAATATATAAATAAAAAATACACACCATAAATGTGGAATAAGTACAATACAATTTGTCAATTTCAGTTTCAATAATATAATAATTTGTTAATAAAGTATAAAATATTTGTAATACAATGTCAATAATATATAAATAAAAAATACACACCATAAATGTGGAATAGGTACAATACAATTTGTCAATTTCAGTTTCAATAATATAATAATTTGGTAATAAAGTATAAAATATTTGTAATACAATGTCAATAATATTAATAGAGGTATCTATTTAATAATTTTTTTCTTAAATTTAAATAAATTTTTTTTAAAAATGTATCCACTTCAATTTGGTTAGTATTTAACCGTTCGCATAAGGTTTTTAATCTTTTTTGCACGGTTTTCGATTTTGTACATTTTGTTTTGGACTCTCCAATGTTTTACAGAGCAAATTTTGCACGGTCTGCCGACAATTCATTTTTTATTTTGGTTATTAACGTCCAAATCGATGGGTGTTTTCCTCCAACTAAATGACAAAATCGATTGTTCCACGATTCGCAAACATTATTGGTTCGGTGGTTATTTTCTAGTGTTTCGGGGCTAATCCAAAATTTCCATCTGCATACCAGGTATTTATATATGTTAATAACTTCAAATTGTTTAACGTACTAAAAATGATTACCCTCTCATTATTTTCACTGTGGTTATCAAATAGTAAACATTTTTCATTTTCGAAAATACTCCATTCACCTACAATACAATATAATATATCATTATTATTATATTTTATTATATAATATTAATTCTTATCTAACTATCTTGTCGTATCGTGTTAATAATTTATTAATCAAGTTAAAAGTTCACCCCCCCCCCCCCCACAACCTCTAAAAATGTAGCTTGAATATTTTGAAATTTCGGAAAAAAATAACTATAAATAAACTTCGTTTAGTACACGAGTACACGTGAGATAGTAAACCCTAGACTATATAGTGTTTATAATTTGGAAAAATATTAAAAATTTTTAACTTTAAACAATTCAGGTACGATAAAATTTATTTTGTCAAAAATTGGTTTTGCGTAAAATGTTGTTGTAATAAATTGTTTTTTCTTAATTTTTAAAAGTGAATACATAAATTCTATTTTTAAATCTTTTAGATTATCAGGTACTTTTGGGAAATTCTGAGTTCTTTGATTTTGGATTGTTTATTTTATTGATTTTTCCTTTGGAAGTTCTTCAAGTATATTGTCTGAAAGACCCGCTTTAGCTTCGGAAAATAACTGCGCAGGCGTAGATTTTGATACTTTTGCCAGTGTTTTAATTTTCATTTTAATTTTTGCGGCTTCAATTTCATTTTGAGAGGAAAGCTGACTGTGTTCATGATCATTTTGTATTAAATTTTTTTTATCCAGAGAAGTTTTTAAAATGCATGGACATTTGCGGCTATTTTTTTTGCAGCATTTCCACCTTATAAAATGTATACATTCTTTGTGTACAACATACATAAACTTATAATATGCCAACTTTTCTTTGCCCTTCTGGCTCTCGAAAATATCTAAACTATCCATAACTATTCAAAAAGAAATTAAATCAAATGCTTAGCGAAATATATAATAATATACGAAAGAACACTGTTGTACACCACTGTATTACCGAATACAGAGAACTGAACACACACAAAATTGACAAACTTTATAAATTACCGCTTTTATAATATTATCAGATTATCAGAACATTAAAGATAAAGTTATTTGTACCTTTCTTATCCGTTATAATATGTCACTGTACCTAGTTATTGTATATCTGATCGATATATTATGACAGTCAGACCGTGCTCTGAATTGTTTTTATCGTGGGTATATACAATAATTTATCATTGAATCCAAAACTAATATTGTACGTAGGTAATAGCCAATAGGTATGTTATACATTTTGTATTGATTTGAGATTAATTTGCAAAATCTCATATTATGGCCTATGGGGTTATTTTGTCGGTGGTTATTTTTTCGCGGGGTTATTTTTTCGCCCATTGGTATACCTCTAAGTAATAAAAACGATTTTCTAGTTTCTACTACTTAGGTACCTAACAATAACATTTCCAATTTTGTGCGTGATTCTTCAATAGTAGTTTATTTTTATCTTAAAAACAGACTACTGGGCCCCATTGAGTCCATCGGGTTAGGAATAAAGTTTATGTTTTATAAAATAAATTACTGAGGCTTTATAAAACACTTTTTTAACTACAAGCACCTAGACATTTTTGTACAAGTCAGCTGTGTTCCTTATTAAGGGTGATATAATTTACTTATATTTAAAAGCGATTCATAATAGAGAATTTTTATAAATTTAAGGTAAATAATTTAAAATCAAGTACAATTAATTGTATTATTTATTTTAAATTTTTCATTAAATATGTTTATAAGTTCGGTTAAAATAATAATTGGGAAAACTAAAAACAGCGGAAAACATTAATATTTACGCAGGAACACCAGTTTTAGACAAAATTGATTTTTTTCTTTGTAGTTATACAAAAATAAATAACAGTAGTCAGTAGAGACTTGAAATTTGAAATATTTGTATTAATCCTTGGGTTAAAAAGATTGAAAATTTAGTAGATACATATTGTTAAAATGGCAGATGAAAAATATTAAAAATACATAGTCACAATTGTTTTTATAAGCTTTTCAAGTTTGAATTTTGAAAAAAATATGTAAAATTCATAAAAATGTGCAAATTATTTGAGTTAGAATTTTATAAAAATGTTAATACAAGATTCCTCATAAGTCTGCCTACCTTTATCAAACAACAGATGTCTACCGGAGAGTTTAATTAAATTTGTATAAGCGTCTGAACTCTGAAGTTAAAACTTATACAACATTGGATAATAATATAATACATAAAATGTAATAAGTTATATTATATTATAATTATTAGGTACTATATTTACCATATAAATATTACTTAACACTGTAAAGGAATAAACTTTTAACTACAAATTTAAAGAAAATTTAAAGAAAACTCTTTATTGAAGAACAATCAAAACATATTAAATCTGAAATAAAAATAAAAATTATAGATCAAAATCTAATTTTCTGTTGGTTTTTGAAAACATATCAATGACGTTATTCACGTTTACGTCAATATCACGGTGGATATATTTTAAAAGAGCAAGTCCAGTTAATCTGGTCTCCGACATTGTCGATCTCAGCCATGTTTTGAGTCTTCATAGTGTTTAAAACGTTTTCTCAGCACTTGCATTGCTTATAGAAAGAGTTATCAAAATGGTTAGATATGGTAATTTATTATTATTATTTATGATGTAGGTACATAAAAACTAAAAAATAACAGCCTAAACAGTTTAGTTTTTTTGATAGTCGCTATAAAAAAATATAATTTTTATGATTGCTTGGCATATTATTATAATAATTTTTTTTTGTTTCGTGATATTTGGGGGAGGGGTCGCTTCCATGCCCCCTTTGTATTCGCGCCTGACACAATATGTTTATTTTATCAATAAGCAATTTTGACTGATTTTGAACTTTTTACGGACATTCTCAATTTTCAATTTTTTAGTTTTTTTTTTCTATAAATAATTGTATTTGCTAGGTCAAAAAGCAAAATTTTTTTTATAACTTTTAAAGTTCAATGTTTACATAATTTATCAAATTGAAAATGTACAAATTATTTTGTTGTTAAAAATGTATAAAATATTCAACTTTTATAGCTAAGGGTTTAAAATTTAAAACAAGGTTGTTGAAGTGGGTAGTTAATTCTGTAACCAAAAAATCTAAAAAATATACATGATAATCGTTTTTTTTTTTTTATAGTTAGCTGGCATTTTAAGTTAATATTTGGACGAAATTACATATTAAATAACCAATATTTTTTTATAATTTTATGATATTAATTCAACTTACCGGCTACCGTATTATAATAATAAATAATAACAATGAAAGTATAATATAAATTATCCTAGACTGACATTTCCCCTGGTCAGAATCCTTTTTCGTATACAAATATACAATGATGATATATCATTGAATAATAATTTAAAACCATCCATTACAGTGACCCACTTGTAACATACTGTACAGCAGAGCGACAGCCACTTACCCGCTTTTTTTTTGTTTCTTTATTAACACGTGTGATATTATGTTTTTCAAGTTCCCCTAAAAAATTCATCGAAACGTGTAAAATGTTATTGTCCCTGCAGTTTTTACTGTTTTAAAGACTTGAAGTGTAAAATTTTAGAAAAAAATTGTATTTTCCTTTTTGAAACTTTGAATTTAACAACTAGGTAACGAACATTTAATAAAAAACTTATGAATATGTCAAGTAGCAGGAAATTCACTATTCATTAAATACTTTTTTCTACATATATATTATGTTAGTATATGTCTGTCAGTAAACGTGTTTTAAAATGACCGAGGACAAAAATATTGTTTTATTTTAATATTAAAAGTGTCACTCAACACATAATATGAAAAGCCTCAAATTGCACGCTTTTGTTGTATAAAAACAAATACAATAAAATATATGTTAAAAAAAATGTAGAACATTTTTATTTTTTTATTTGAAACGCATGATTAGAATAGATAATATATTATAAAATATATGTGTTGTAATATGTGTTGTGAAGGATTGACATTCTCAAATAAAATTAAGTAGGGATGAAATATGTCAATGACAAAAAATTAAGAGATGACATTCCAGCATCCCACCGTAACCTCTCCACGGTTGTTATACCCTTCAAAACGGTATACTTATGGAATTTATTCAAATCAGTATGAATGTATGACAGTATGACAATATGACAGAACGGCCTATACGATATATAATATGTGTAATAAAAATATGTGCAATAAAAATATCTTAGTCAATCAATGTATTTTTATCAAGAGAATTTCACTCAATGATAATCACGACCCGGATTGCCATTTTAAAATATTATGTTCATAATATAATTATTTCCATTCCCAAGCGTTATATTTTAATATAATATGGCTGTATACATTTTCGTCGATTCCAATCATCATACATACCTATTGTTCTATATGATATTGTATATCAGGACCATATTTTTTAAGACTACACCATTCAAAATTAACAACAGCCAAACATTTAGACTTATTGTAGAAAGAAACGTTTAGATCGTACATACATAAGTACATAACATTTAAAAACTAAAATATATTAGAAGCAACTACCGCTGCTTTACCAGAACATTAACATTACTTTTTATTAGGTATAAAATTAAAGTTTTATAAAACATTGACAAGTGACAACATTAGCTCACTTTCGGTTTGTTAAAATTGTATTGATAGTTTTTCGTATAATACAAGTATGCTCATAAATAAAATTATTGATTATGATATATGTACACTATTGTACAGGTAAGTACTATATCAAATATAAATGAAATTTTTTCGTTAAACAATTTTGCATACGTAAGCAAAAATTCTTCATTGTGTCAAGTATTGAGTAGGTAAAATATAAGAGTGTTAAGAATGAGTGAAAAGAGAAAACTATTCCCCCCTACCACTTCTAGTGGTTGATAGTGTATTTACATACGGTATACAATTACCACCGTTTATCCCCACGATAGCAATAATTATATTTTAATTTATTTCGTATTTTATAGTGTCTTATGGAAAACAAATTCGACATTGTACCTACAACATTTCTGCTTAGTTATATTTTAAATTATTGTAAGAAACAAATGGTTTTAGTGTGTATTTTAAGACGTTTTTGTAACAACGATGATTATTGACTCATGGCATTATACAGTAATAAGTTATAATGGCTTAAACTTTATAGTACGATAATGATACATTAAATATATGTTTACATCTCTCTACTAAACTACAGTAGATATTTTACATGATATATTATAATAAAATATTAAACATGTTGTACAGAATACATTAATTAAAGTCATTCATAGAAATCATTGTCATAATAGATATCAACATATTTTATTTAACAATTAAGTAATTGCAAGTTAATTTAAGCATTTTAAGCACTCTTCTGACATCTTAAGTTTTCAATCAGCAAGGAGAAGAAAAATGTCATTCTGCAGTTTCTAAGATGGCTGGTTAATTTGAGAGTACCTTAATGTACCTAATATATTATTATGTAGCAATTATATAATATTGTAAATTGTAATGTAGGTATTATATTATAATTTTGAATTAGGTATTTTGAAAGTTTTTAATTTGAAAAGTAAGTATACCATACTTGAATGACGCTATAAGAAATATTTTTTCAAGAGGTTTTTGGATAAACTCTTATTTGGAAAATTGAGTTATTAACAATATAAATTATAAATTAAATATTTTTAATTATGTTTTGTTAATAAATATTTATTCATATTTAAGTTAAAGCTATGTTTACCTAAATAACTAAATCAAACCATGATACCGATTTATAATCGATTCTGTAGATATCGAGTATAGTCTAAATATGGAAAAAACAATACGTTACGAAATAATCTTCTACATTTCGTAATTTTATTTACTTTGGTTTTCCTGGGAATCATCAGTTCATATTTTTCAAAAAATGTGTACTA